GAGTATAGTTTAGATTTTGGGCAGTATATATAGTTCAGATTGTGTATTATAGTGTAGACAGATTTATATATACTGTAACAGATTTTGCTAACAGATTTTGCTAACAGATTTATATATAGTATAGTGTAGACAGATTTTGCTAACAGATTTATATATAGTATAGTGTAGACAGATTTTGCTAACAGATTTATATATAGTATAGTGTAGACAGATTTTGCTAACAGATTTATATATAGTATAGTGTAGACAGATTTTGCTAACAGATTTATATATAGTATAGTGTAGACAGATTTTGCTAACAGATTTATATATAGTATAGTGTAGACAGATTTTGCTAACAGATTTATATATAGTATAGTGTAGACAGATTTTGCTAACAGATTTATATATAGTATAGTGTAGACAGATTTTGCTAACAGATTTATATATAGTATAGTGTAGACAGATTTTGCTAACAGATTTATATATAGTATAGTGTAGACAGATTTTGCTAACAGATTTATATATAGTATAGTGTAGACAGATTTTGCTAACAGATTTATATATAGTATAGTGTAGACAGATTTTGCTAACAGATTTATATATAGTATAGTGTAGACAGATTTTGCTAACAGATTTATATATAGTATAGTGTAGACAGATTTTGCTAACAGATTTATATATAGTATAGTGTAGACAGATTTTGCTAACAGATTTATATATAGTATAGTGTAGACAGATTTTGCTAACAGATTTATATATAGTATAGTGTAGACAGATTTTGCTAACAGATTTATATATAGTATAGTGTAGACAGATTTTGCTAACAGATTTATATATAGTATAGTGTAGACAGATTTTGCTAACAGATTTATATATAGTATAGTGTAGACAGATTTTGCTAACAGATTTATATATAGTATAGTGTAGACAGATTTTGCTAACAGATTTATATATAGTATAGTGTAGACAGATTTTGCTAACAGATTTTGCTAACATATGTTTGCTAACAGATTTTAACATACATATATATATATATATATATATATATATATATGTGTGTGTGTGTGTGTGTGTAGGAGAACATAACATTTTTCATATCCAAACAACATATAATGGATTCAAGTTTTAAAAAAATCGAACTCACCATAGCAGCTATTGCGATAGGAAATGAGCGAGACCCATTGGTATGATTGTACGGCAATTGACTCCTATTACTCTTGCCAGCTTTTGACCGTTTCTAAAAATAAGTCAAGCAGATAAACAATATTTTTTGTCAATATTAAGGCATATCACATTTTCACATAGATGTATGTACTCTATCTAGTCTATTATTTTACCTGGTGAGATGCATCTTGCCATGCCACATCGATCAAATGCTTCCAATTATCTAAACTCACCCCTACGGGCGGATGACCATAGATCTCATCACGTGGAAGTCCTTCTAACAATTCGAACTCTTGCTTCAAGGTGTACCTCCAATCTTTGTACAACCCATAGGCCTTCTTATTCACAATCTCCTGTGCTTGTAAGTCATTGTGGAAATCGTCTCCAATTTGAAACTTGTCCTACATGCAAAACAAATTGAAATAGTAATCATTACATATTAGTCTTTCTTATTACTCACATAATACAATTACATATTGTGGACAAGTAATATTAGTTACAAGAACTCCTTGGATGACGGCAGCTTTAGTAGTCTCATCAAGATCCAGCCATGACTTCACATCTTTCAAAGGGCACAAGGTTCTAATTTGAATTCCTAACTCGTTAGTTGCTGGAGTGGCATACTTGCCAGTCATTGCATTCAACTCACGATCGATGTGAACATAACATTTTTCCCCTTTTTTGGCTCTAATTATTTTTTGTATGCCCTTGCCAAGTGTCGGTCCACGTACACGTAGAGGCTTCGAAGTCCCTGTTAACAACATAACATCATGAAAATTGCCTAAAATTTGGCTACAAAAAAACAATGGCAATGGCATGTGGTAATTGACAAATTTTATACACTTTATTCTTACCTACGCCACTCGGCTGCGTTTCGGATGGGGCTTGTGTCTCATCAGAATCAACCATTGGTTGGCTAGTGACATGATGAGATGGTCCCACATTTGATCGGACGGGTAGAACAGGAGACGGAGCAACGGGTGATCCTAAAGGAATAGCAGCTGGCGAGTCTGTTTCTGGCTGCCTGAGTGTCTTCTTCCGAAGCCGACCAGTCTTTAAGCCAGGAACCATTTTCCAATCTGCAATAACATAAGTAACACTATATACATGAACTAGACAAAAATAAGTCCGCTTGATTATTGCAGACAAAAATAATACATGAACTATACAATAACACAAGTAACACCATTTTCCATTTTCCAATATGCCATGATATGCCTACTTTAGTTAGTTTGGACAAAAAATAATTTTGAAGGCATGAACTAACTCAACTAATTTCGAAGCTGAGAAGTTCATTAAAATCACCCCCAAATTCATACAGATACAAGGATGAGCTAGAGCTCAGGCAAAGTTCCATCCTCTGGTACTATCTTGCAATGCATTGCATTTGTTTGCATCAACTACGCCAACCAATAAAAACTGAAAAAGAAAATACATTGCCTACCTAAAGTAAGCTCTAAAAAAACCTGCACTTCTCAACATATCTAAAGTAGGCAACAGTTTTTCTTACACATATGATTCATGAAAATCTAGTATTCACAACTTCAGAGGAAAGATCAAAGTACAATTCAAGTAACTAAACTACCGCAACAGATATTCAGCAGCTTCGGCTCCTGTATCTTTTGAAATTAGGTCATCAAGAAGCACTTGATGATCATAGTGTAACTGCAAACAAGTTAGGAGTGCTTGTATTACTTTATTTAATAACTTCGCCTGGTAAGTGAAGAATAGAACATAAAGGCATTTTCTTTGTATCTACCAAATAAAAGTATATACATTGGGATAAGAAGTCTTAGTTGTTCCCATTATCTATAAATATTGAACTTGCCTCTGCAAGAAAAAGATGGAATAGGTGTATGGGGTTGAAAAGGTTTGAAACATTATAAAGCATATCATCACATCTGTCTTGGCAGACCCGACATTCAAGCTCTAAAAAGACTCATTAAAGACTTCTTAGCAACCAATACTCTTAATAACCACTAAAACTATTCTAGCATGTGTTGCTTACTGTTGCTTGGCACCGAAGGACACGTGAAACAGTTGCAAAAGCACTTCAAATATGATATCGTCCTACAAATCAACAGTAGACAAGAAATTAGGATATAACAGGTCTAAAGAAAGGCACATATTCTACGAACAAGAAATTAAACGATTAATAAATTAATATAACCATTCAAGCTACACGAGCAACTATATAAACTAAATTTTCTTGGAGTTGTCATCTCTCGCAAATAAGGTTTGTAAATGGCTTTTAGATGTGTTTCAAGCTTCATCTTGAATGACTACTTTAAAAATTTGAAGAGTGGAATCTAACTTCGGCAGATTATGAAATATTAGACCCTAAAGATCGTTATGTGTATGCTATTTCCAAATTCGGTTACTTCTGAACTGCAGTTGATTTTTGGGAGCCTATGGAATTTCAAGCCATGCTAATATAGGTCAACTTTGCTCATTCATTGTGCATGTCTAGTACATGAAAAATCTTTACGAGTTTTTCCAACTCATTTAACTAGCAAGAACTCTGTTGATGGTCAAATTCCAAAAGCCCTGTTTATTTTGTCAAGTAATACCTTTTGAAACTGAGAAATAGAGAGGTGCTAGGCAATTAGGTAATTGTCGTGACTATTCTTGTATGCATATCTCTATGTAATTTCATCAGTTGTGGTAGTGAAAGAGGTAAGTTATGGAATTAATAGGTTGTAACAAAAAACTATGGAACCTGGGTCTGGTTGTAATGGGGGAAAGTTTTAGCCCTGGTGTGGTTTTTTCATGTGGAAGTGGGGAAGTTTCACCCCTTAGGATTAAGTTGTATCAGATTTATCCTTTGTTTTTAATTTTCTGAACATACTTAGACAACACATAAAATCTCAACAATCCACTATTAAGAAGTAAACCTGTGAGCAAGGATCAAATTTAGTTTTGGTGTGCTGTTTCAGTCAACTTTGAAACAGAAATATTTTGGAAACACAAGGAAAAAAGAAAGGAAATTTTGACTATACCCTCTTGTGGTTTGGCTCATGTGCGCATAGCCTCCCTAATGTTCAAATATAAACACAAAACTCCCTGTGGTGGTTTCTGTCTAACATTACTGAAATAAGTAAACTTGAGAAGGGACAGGTTAAAATATGATACCAGCTGGTGTAATATAACTGCCATATTTGGTGCATGATTTTAACTTAATGTCAATTGTGTTGTTAACAGGTTGGCGATGCTGGGCCCATTCTTGATATGATGGTTGTGGCACTAGAGAACATCCCAAGTAATGCTATTGTATCTAAAGCAACAATATTCGCTGTTTATCGGACTGTACAACTTATTTCTTCCATTCCTAATGTTTCATATAACAAGAAGGCAAGATTCGATTTCCTCATATAGCAATATGTTGCTATGTTTTCAGTTTATAAAAATCATCTAACCCTGCGGCATAATTTCTTGCTTCAGGCCTTTCCTGATGCTCTATTTCACCAGTTACTTTTAGCAATGTCCCATCCAGACCACGAAACAAGAGTAGGGCCACACCATGTTTTCTCCATTGTGCTTATGCCATCTCTTATTTGTCCTTGGTTAGTTCGTAATGGAGGACCTGCACAAGCTCTCCTGGGGTTTTCGCCAATTGCTTCAGAGAGGATAAAGAATGGAAGTTTCTCGATTCAGGATGAAAGCAATGACAAACCCAAGGAGGAAGTCAGTCAAGTTTTGGATAATGGCGTGACTCAATCTATAAAATGTCCATCTCGTGGTCGATCATTTAGTTTCAAGAATGCTATGGTCAATGGAAAAGCAGTATGTCACAAGTCTTTGAAAGTTGCAACACAATCTATCATTTGGTTTTGCCTTACTGTGATTATTGTCATTTTTCTAATGATCTCTTTTGAGTGATTTATCTATCTAATCTTCTTCAGGATCTGACTGCCCTCCGATTGAGTAGTCACCAAGTGAGTCTCCTGCTTTCAGCAATCTGGGTGCAGGCAACATCCATAGAAAATACCCCTGCAAATTTTGAAGCGATGGCCCACACATATAATGTCACTTTATTATTTACCCGGAATAAGGTATCCTCATGGTGCTGTTTACTTATATTTATTGTTTCTACCATTTTGATACTTATCCCTTGGAATTTCTTTATATGTACTTTTTTTCCTTCTTTTTTCTGGATTAAGAATTCTATATTGAAAAGATTCCAGTTGCTTGGGAAAGTAACTCTAAGATAAAATTGTATCTACAATATACATTCAGTGAATCTGGAAAGAAGTTTCGTGGAAATAGAATACTGTATTTACTTCACTACTAGTACTAGCTTTACTTTAAAAGTGGTGAAAGCCTGCTTTCAGAGATTTGAGTTATTTGATTGTCAAAAATGATTCTTCTAACACTCTTAAAACCAGAGTTCTAATGAGCTTCTCACCTGTGGCAACTTTGTTACGTAATTCAAGGTTTTGAATCCTATGAGCACTGAGAGTAATTTTTTTTAGTCTTCATAATAAGAAGTATCTTTTTCTTTTGGATTCTTAAGTAGGGTAATGTGGAAGCTGATATGCCTAATGTGGAAGCTGATATGCCCTATGTGGGCAGTTTTAGTGGGTACCGAAATGCCTCTATATTTATTTTGGTGGTCCTTAGAATTTTCTTGGAGTTGTCATCTCTATTGTCAACTACGATGGCCTATGATTTTATCAAACTTATAATCCCAGGCATATCAGACTGGCAAAAGAGGATTCAGTACCTGACCCTTTGCATTTCAAAGCCAGACTGTTCAAAATCTGTACACATACATATTACAATTGAATTCAAACTAACCCTTCCAAACTAACCCTTCCTTCATTTATTCATGGTTAACTCTTATTCTAATCTCTATCTACAAAACCATAAAATAGCAACAACAAAGCATAAACAGAGCAGAGGCAGCCCCAAACTTGAACCTAAAAACATCCACACAGTTGCAGCAGCAACCAGACAAAACCAGCTTTACAGCCATACCAGCATAGCTGCAGCCAAACAAATGTTGATGTTCTCAGAGCTTCCTATATCAGATGCATTCCACCAAAAGGCACCATTCAGTTACATTCCACCAGCACACCCCATAGTAACCCATTGCACAAACTGCCATGCTGACCATTAAATACACCAACCATTCAGATCTTCAATGAATGCAGGTTTAACTGGGCTCAACTCACAATCTGACCAGCATAGCTGCAGCCAAACAAGATGCAGACCAGCAACCTTCCATTTGACAGCAGCCCAACAAAACACCACATTTAACCTAGTGACAACCATTTGACAGCAGCTCCACAGAATGTACTCCAGGCCCCCTCAGAAAACATTCTACTTGACACAGTAAGCAGCAGTTAGATACCAAAGCTACACCATAAACTTCACTACCAAAGATACACCAAAAATGCCTCCCACTACATTCTGGACAGCAACCCTTCCAGGGCAGATCAGCAAAGCCAGGGCAGAGATAAACCAAAGGAAAAAAACATAGAATGATAGAGAACAAAAACATGGGTCCAGGGACTGCACTTCTGCACTGAGTGGGTACACCCACAGCAAAACTCCACCCATTTCAGTTTCGATTAGCTGCCTTAAACACACATTGATTTCTGAGTTTATTGACATTGACGAAGGTGATCCTAAAGGAATAGCAGCTGGCGAGTCTGTTTCTGGCTGCGTGAGTGTCTTCTTCCGAAGCCGACCAGTCTTTAAGCCAGGAACCATTTTCCAATCTGCAATAACATAAGTAACACTATATACATGAACTAGACAAAAATAAGTCCGCTTGATTATTGCAGACAAAAATAATACATGAACTATACAATAACACAAGTAACACCATTTTCCATTTTCCAATATGCCATGATATGCCTACTTTAGTTAGTTTGGAGCCATGCTTATATAGGTCAACTTTGCTCATTCATTGTGCATGTCTAGTACATGAAAAATCTTTACGAGTTTTTCCAACTCATTTAACTAGCAAGAACTCTGTTGATGGTCAAATTCCAAAAGCCCTGTTTATTTTGTCAAGTAATACCTTTTGAAACTGAGAAATGGAGAGGTGCTAGGCAATTAGGTAATTGTCGTGACTATTCTTGTATGCATATCTCTATGTAATTTCATCAGTTGTGGTAGTGAAAGAGGTAAGTTATGGAATTAATAGGTTGTAACAAAAAACTGTGGAACCTGGGTCTGGTTGTAGTGGGGGAAAGTTTTAGCCCTGGTGTGGTTTTTTCATGTGGAAGTGGGGAAGTTTCACCCCTTAGGATTAAGTTGTATCAGATTTATCCTTTGTTTTTAATTTTCTGAACATACTTAGACAACACATAAAATCTCAACAATCCACTATTAAGAAGTAAACCCGTGAGCAAGGATCAAATTTAGTTTTGGTGTGCTGTTTCAGTCAACTTTGAAACAGAAATATTTCGGAAACACAAGGAAAAAAGAAAGGAAATTTTGACTATACCCTCTTGTGGTTTGGCTCATGTGCGCATAGCCTCCCTAATGTTCAAATATAAACACAAAACTCCCTGTGGTGGTTTCTGTCTAACATTACTGAAATAAGTAAACTTGAGAAGGGACAGGTTAAAATATGATACCAGCTGGTGTAATATAACTGCCATATTTGGTGCATGATTTTAACTTAATGTCAATTGTGTTGTTAACAGGTTGGCGATGCTGGGCCCATTCTTGATATGATGGCTGTGGCACTAGAGAACATCCCAAGTAATGCTGTTGTATCTAAAGCAACAATATTCGCTGTTTACCGGACTGCACAACTTATTTCTTCCATTCCTAATGTTTCATATAACAAGAAGGCAAGATTCGATTTCCTCATATAGCAATATGTTGCTATGTTTTCAGTTTATAAAAATCATCTAACCCTGCGGCATAATTTCTTGCTTCAGGCCTTTCCTGATGCTCTATTTCACCAGTTACTTTTAGCAATGTCCCACCCAGACCACGAAACAAGAGTAGGGGCACACCATGTTTTCTCCATTGTGCTTATGCCATCTCTTATTTGTCCTTGGTTAGTTCGTAATGGAGGACCTGCACAAGCTCTCCTGGGGTTTTCGCCAATTGCTTCAGAGAGGATAAAGAATGGAAGTTTCTCGATTCAGGATGAAAGCAATGACAAACCCAAGGAGGAAGTCAGTCAAGTTTTGGATAATGGCGTGACTCAATCTATAAAATGTCCATCTCGTGGTCGATCATTTAGTTTCAAGAATGCTATGGTCAATGGAAAAGCAGTATGTCACAAGTCTTTGAAAGTTGCAACACAATCTATCATTTGGTTTTGCCTTACTGTGATTATTGTCATTTTTCTAATGATCTCTTTTGAGTGATTTATCTATCTAATCTTCTTCAGGATCTGACTGCCCTCCGATTGAGTAGTCACCAAGTGAGTCTCCTGCTTTCAGCAATCTGGGTGCAGGCAACATCCACAGAAAATACCCCTGCAAATTTTGAAGCGATGGCCCACACATATAATGTCACTTTATTATTTACCCGGAATAAGGTATCCTCATGGTGCTGTTTACTTATATTTATTGTTTCTACCATTTTGATACTTATCCCTTGGAATTTCTTTATATGTACTTTTTTTTCTTCTTTTTTCTGGATTAAGAATTCTATATTGAAAAGATTCCAGTTGCTTGGGAAAGTAACTCTAAGATAAAATTGTATCTACAATATACATTCAGTGAATCTGGAAAGAAGTTTCGTGGAAATAGAATACTGTATTTACTTCACTACTAGTACTAGCTTTACTTTAAAAGTGGTGAAAGCCTGCTTTCAGAGATTTGAGTTATTTGATTGTCAAAAATGATTCTTCTAACACTCTTAAAACCAGAGTTCTAATGAGCTTCTCACCTGTGGCAACTTTGTTACGTAATTCAAGGTTTTGAATCCTATGAGCACTGAGAGTAATTTTTTTTAGTCTTCATAATAAGAAGTATCTTTTTCTTTTGGATTCTTAAGTAGGCTAATGTGGAAGCTGATATGCCTAATGTGGAAGCTGATATGCCCTATGTGGGCAGTTTTAGTGGGTACCGAAATGCCTCTATATTTATTTTGGTGGTCCTTAGAATTTTCTTGGAGTTGTCATCTCTATTGTCAACTATGATGGCCTATGATTTTATCAAACTTATAATCCCAGGCATATCAGACTGGCAAAAGAGGATTCAGTAGCTGACCCTTTGCATTTCAAAGCCAGACTGTTCAAAATCTGTACACATACATATTACAATTGAATTCAAACTAACCCTTTCATACCTTGTGTGGAATCTTTTTACCACCATCATCGTTCAACTTGTATCTACACGCGTCACATGTAGGGCATTTCTCCAAATTAGCACTCTCCTTCCAAAATAGTGCACAATCATTCTTGCACGAATGAATTGTTTCATATCCCAACCCCAAGTCACGTAAGAACTTCTTAACATCATAGAGTGTCCATGGAACTGTTGGATCACATTCTGGTAGAATGTCCTTGAATACCTGCATAACCATATCGAATGACTTGTTGCTCCATTTGTTGTACACCTTCACATGAAGCATCTTAATGATGAATGATAACACAGAAAACTTTTCACATGTCGGGTGAACTTTGCGTTGTGCATCTTCGAATAACCTAGTGAACTTATGCAAATCCTCCCTCTCCAAACCATTAGGTTCCTCGTCGGTATGATCATCCATAAGACCACTCACATAAATTTCTTCCAACATAATAGGCAATTCATCCATGGGCGGATCATCGATATCTGTCATACATTCGCCACTACCTCCATATTGGTCATTTGATACACTAGGACGAGACACGGGAACATGTTCCCCGTGATGCACCCAAGTTAGATACGAAGATGCCATGCCTTTTCGGATCAAGTGCATCCACACAACTTGTCTGCTATATTTTGTGCCATTAATGCAATCGACACACGGACACCTAATTTCATCCTCTACGCCTAAATTTGCCGTAGCAAAATCAAGGAATGACTTCACCCCTTGTTGATACTCTTTACTTATCAACCGATTATTTATCGTCATCCAACTCTTGTCCATTTTGTCACCTACAACTCACACAAACATTAACCAAGGAAGCCATGAGAACACGCATTTCAAGTTGAGCCACTGTTTGGCTTGTCACATAAATCTCTTTTAGGGTGGCACTTTATGACACGAGTAGTTCTAAAACAAGTTAATTTAAGAAATGACCCGTAATTTTGGACCACTAGATAGCATAACTAGTAGAGCACTAGTACTAGTGAAACTATATGGTCAATGATAAAATGATATATCAAAATAATGAAAACCATGTCATGCTCTTCACAATGTGTGTGCATGACATGTTATTTATTAAAAAAAACAAGTAAAGACAAAAACACATTTCCAACAGTTGGCTCTACATGGCAACTGTGCATGTCCGCAAATGCATATTCACACATGAACATTTCAGAATAGAAGCATAGTAGATGTTATCAATGAGAGATGTATCTACAAAGTCATGTGAAAATACAGAATAGAAGCATTGACAGTACTCATGAACATTTCATACAGCTTAAAGCACATTTTGCGGAAATGATAATAAATAAGCCAGACGATGTGGAGGCAAGTTTGCTGCAAGGTAGATTTTCTCTGATATGACATACTCTTGAAAAACTTGCTGCTATGAGCATGTAATTTTGTCTCATGGCAAGTTAGTTAAGCACTTAAATTAACTGAAATTCACAGCATTGCCATTTTCGAAAGCTCTTCATGTGGCCTATTCTAGAGAATTAACATATTGAGCCTCTTTAACAATTAGATATGACGAATGCGTTACTCTGTGAAGACTTAGACGAAGAAGTATTTACAGATGTTCCACCGGACTTTGAGGATTTCTAATAGCACTTCCAACCAACCTAATCATGCTTATTAATAATCGAACCTAAATAATGAGAATGTTCACCAAAAATTGCATTAATAATATTGCTTTTGGGATCACAGTGGCATTTCTTGTGAATAGTCAATGCAATCTCTTAGTTTCCACAATTTATCATACAATGAGTTGAAAAGGAAAAGTAAAAAAATGAATTTCAGACTCCAATTCCTGAAAATTTTGGAAATGGGTGTTCATACTGTGTCCAAGCAAGCAATTCAATCATATGCTATCCTTTACGCCTTCACTAACAATGAGTGTTGATAATCCTAAAGTAAAACTATTCTAATGGCTTAATTGATGGAAGTAGTAATTCAAAAAAACAAGCCCATTTTACAAATAGCATAATTACCGTGGGAAGTTAAAACTCCAAAATCCTATCCATGCAAGTTTAAGTACTACTAGTCCTGCACTAACAGTGGCCACAAACATATATTTTAATATGTGACCTAAAGCAGCTAATAATTAATATCCATTTAAAAAAAAAAAAACCAACCTGAATGACAATCCTGTGCTACAGGATTAGCAAAAATTGCATTAGTCATGACATTTTAGGGTGGAACTTTATGACACGATTAGTTCTAAAACAAGTTAAACAGAAACACATTTCCAACAGTTGGCTCTACATGGCAACTGTGCATGTCCGCAAATGCATGTTCACACATTTCCAACCTAAGCTTTGGGCATAAACGAGCTTTCTCCTTCTTCGGAAATATGGACATAAATTACTAAGGAGGCAACATGGGCAATATGCCGCCATGATGCAAGAATCATAAATTTCCGATACTTCTAAAATGGAAGCATCGAGGTTATATTCTCCTAAGTTCCCATACAAAGAGCAGCCTCGTACTTTTTTTATGTAATGATGTTTAAAAATTACTCACATGTAATTATCATGTGTGCCAAGTAGTTTCCAAGAATTTAACAAGTCAATGCTATCCAGTCAAGGCAAGGCAATGCCCTAATTTTTAATTTGAATCACATTTCAATAACAATGCCCTAATTGAGGGCATTTCGTACATGTCATATTCTGTGTGTTTTGACACACACACACTGTAATGCCCTCAAAATAACGACATTAAACCCACCAATATAAACATACATTGATACATAAAAGGTCCACATTCATCTATTCATCAGAGTATTTCATTACAACACAGTATTGCATGTTTACAACATAAAAGCAAATGCCCTACGGGCTTACAGCTTTCCAAGTTAACACTTGGTTACAAAGAGAGTGCTAACTCAATTACACCTTAAGCCCTTGGCTTGAAACTATATGTAATACAATCAAGGAGAATAAGACAGCCAAAGTATGTCCGCCTCTAGCCTTCCAAGCTATGTCCTTAGAGGTGCATGCTACCTGTACCTGAAAATGATGTTCCCATATAGGGTGAGCCACAGCCCAGTAGAAATATACTAAACCGACTATGAACAATGCCTAAAAGATTAGCAACTGATAGATGGTCAATACTTACACTTCCATTTACATCTTATTAAAATTCCATGACAATCAGTCAGGATTTGACTAGGAAGAGATGGAAGCTGAAAACGTGATTGATATTGGGGCTTTTGTGCAATTATACAAAAGTTGGGGTTTTATTCATAACAAACCTAGATGCATGTTTGGCAT